CAGAGTGAAGCCCTATTCTTAGACAAAATACCACTTAAAACTATACTAGTTCAGTGCCTGAAATACACTTTCTGCCTCATGAATCTCAGGATGACTCATCTGTACAAGTTATCTCCCATAGTTTTAGTATGTGTGAGCTAAGCTATCAGAGAATAAATCATTAGTCTCACCAAACTTTTGCATCTGAAAACTAATTGCTGACCTGACAAAATATGTGCATAGAAGATTAGTGGCATAAAAGGTACACAAGTAACCAATGACTTTGTGGTTGTGTCTGATACCTACTGCACCAGAGGGAACCTATGCCTCAGACTTAACAATGAATATAACCAATGATTAGATACGTCATAGGCCATATGGGAAATCCTATCATTTTTCTGTTAAATGAAAATGGTATTAAAATGACTCCAAATTAATTATTACTAACCTATATTAGTGTAGTTTTCAACTCTCATCAGAAAAGCTTGATATTCGTGGATGGCAATTAACATATGAATCTACAAATATTTGCAATTTGCAAAGAATAAGAATATAGTGATAGGGGTGCTGAGTGCTAATGGGATGTCTACATCACACCCATTCTCACAAGGCTCATAGACAAAGTAAGGAAGAGTATGTAGAAAAATTGTAAGAGCCAAAGTAATGGATTAAAATAAGGAAACTGTTCCCAAGACACAACAAAATATAAGCACATATTAAGTCACTTCAGTTGTCATACCCTGAAAAAAATCAGGACAGCCAATTTCCCAGTATGGAGGTAGCAGTGGAATGGAGAACATCGTGATGATGAAATGCTTCTATTTGACAAGTGATGAGAGGCAGTAAATCAGTTTTCTTTAAGCTCATAATGTTGGGAAGGTCAACTACTCTCAAGGACAAATCCCATATCCTTGTGTAGAAAGAGATTTTCTCCTTCTATCTCAGTCTCACTAGACTGGGGTTTTCTTCAGCTACAAGGGCCACATTTACTTAATGAAATAATCATTCTGAGACTTTATATCAGTTACAATTGCTTAAGCTTCTTACTGGCTAACTCTCTCTTAATTGGTAACCCATTACTATTAGCCTGTGTGTCTTCACATGGTTTTGACAAACATGATTAAATACAGTTCATGAATATAACAAGAAATTCTCTGAGTTAAACATTATTTGATAAAAAAAAATTTGTGATTTAAAAATAAAACCACATATTTTACATTAGTAATTGTTTTGTGGTGTGTGTGTGTATGTGTGTGTGTGTGTGTGTGTGTGTGTGTGTGTGTGTGTGTGTGTGTATGAAAAATTCATTGTAGTTCAGACTAGGCTTGCTATAAAAATTATCCCATCTCAACCTCTCAACCTCCATTTGCTGGGTTTATAGACATTAACCAAAACACCATGTTTGAATCAAAAAGGTAAAAGTCCAGTCTCTTTGGATTTCAGGACTTTTTCGCTTCCCCTGATGTCAGAAAGTTCATATGCACTATCTGTTTATTGAAAGGAACAGAAGAATATGAATAGGGCTTGAACAAAATCTTTGAAATTTCTCTTTGGACCTAATTGCTTCATTGGACCTACTTTACTTCATTCCACAGTTACATGATAATAATGCATTGTATACATGTATAAAATTCTAAATCTAAGTAAAAGGAAAACAGATATTCTCAGAGGAAATGAATAGCATTCCTTTTAATATATAACTCTAGTGTACTTAAATATAAAATATTTAGTTAAGCGTCTTTTGATAGTGTCTCAAAACAATGTCTATTATCCTTATAGATTAGTTGATATATTTCTTCTGACAAAGCATTCTGCATCAATTCTGCACAGAGAAATTATATTATATCCAATATAATAGTTTGTTATTTCTCAAAATAATTATACATAAAATTATCATATGAAATTATTGAAAAAACCAGAAAAATCCTCATAAATAAATGTATAACATTTAATGCACATATGCCATATTGCATATCACTTGAGATCTGGAAACTTTACCAGGGTTAGTAAAGGAATGAAGAAAGGACAGACACACAGGTACCCACAGAAAAAGTAGGGCAAGGTAGGATGTATGGTCTGAAGAAGCTGCACTTACCCCCACCCCCATTTGGATCTTTAGAGTGTTTGTTATATACAGCACAGGAAGAGTTTAGTTAGTTTACAGGTCTCTATAGGTGAACAGTCTCAAGCATCAGGGAGGATAAAGCTGTAGTTGCTAGTTTTCATACACACTGACAAATCCTAAACATACACTTGCACTTGTATGTTTGCCTTTCTGAACATGAGCTGCATGAAAATGGCTTTGCCAATATCACATGGATTTAGGCCTTGGAATCCTCCACATAGTAAAACCCATCTCAAAAATACACATTCTTTCATGATTTCACTCACACAAAGCTGCCTTTGCTCCCTACAACATAGATGCAAGTACTTAAAAAATTGCATAGAACTATGTTTTGCAATTTCATGGGAAAATAATTTTACAAATCCTGGATAACTAATAATTAGTCTCATTGGTTAATGATTTGTCAGGAAAATGTCTTTAAATTTCAGATGCAGTAAGGGAGGAATTTAGCAACCATGATGAACTCAACAAAGTTAAAACTGCCCACCCTCCATGCCAGAGCTGCTCTCCTGCTGTCTCCTAGATGGAAACTAGCAGAGAATCTTGGCCAAGCCTGAACAGAAAATACGGCCATCTTCAGATTTTTGTGAAACACTATCAAAAGACTGTTCAGCAAATATTTTATGTATAGATATACTAGCATTATATATTAATAGAAATAACATTTATTTCTACTGAGAGTATATGTTTTACTTTTTACTTAGTTTTAGAACTTTATAAATGTATACAATGTATTATGAGCATATTGGCAACCCATAACTGTTTCCTCTTCTTTCTCCAATCTTCTGGATTCTTATCAGTAACTGGTTTTTCTACTATACACATATGGACTTAAGAGAAAAATCTTGCATGAACACAGAGAGGGGGCAATTTACTGGACCATAGACAGATTACTTTTACCTAGATACCATCCTCAATTACTAATTACTCATAAATGAAAAAATAATACCAATTTCACTGGTATACAAACTGCACTTGAGTGCAGGCCACTTGCCCAGCAGTTTATGTCCAATACACACGAAATCAGAGGTGTTTGTGGAAGTTTTTCACCTCATAATGCTTTGTCAAAGCTTTTGTTCTTTTTCAAAAAATCTTACTTGTCTCTTGTTTATATATTATGGCTTTTAGTTTTGTGTTTTTATATTATGTCTGTGTATGCAAATATATGTGTCTGTGAATTACTTGTGTTTTTTCTTTGGTTCTTTATTTCTGTTTGTTTTGTTCTATTATGTTTTATTTTATATAATTGTTTTCTCTTATTTTATTGTTTTTGAAATGTCTATTTGTTTTCTTGTGGTTTTTGGTGAGTGGGGAGGTGAAGAAGATGTGGGAGGAGTTAGGGGAAGGGAACCATTATCAGAGCATATTTTCTGTAAAAGAATTCTATTTTTAATAAAAAATGAAGCTACATCTATTAGAACAATCTTAGCAAATTCTAATCTTTAAACTAGTAGGAATCAAAAACAGGCAGATGGGTTTCAGTGTTATTTTTGTCTAAAATTTATAATTTATTTTTCTTGGTAATCCATACAAAAGTTTACAATTACATATAATTCATAAATAATTTTTAAAACTGGACTATGATAAAAATCTATTTTGGACATTAGATTGTGGTTAGAATAATTTATTTCATATTTAATTCAAAAATTGAATTCATAACTTCATAAAGCAATTGAACAACAAATAACAGGTCTGTGTTTTCTAAATTAATACATAAAAACAAATAAATGATTTGACAGTAAGAGTTTCTATGTGTAGAGTAAATACATTAAGTATTCACATCTGGTATGAGTTAGTCACATGACAGACAGAGAATCGGTGGGCAAATTACCCTAACGCATGGATGCTTTTGTTACACATTTTGTCTCATCTTATTGAGAATTTTTTGTTTATAAATATCTTAAATTTTTAAACACTTTCTGTTGGGAAATCAGTACAATCTCATACATCTGCTTAGTCTTGGACCTGCCAGTAAGTGATGCCCAATACCTGTCTTTGTTTGGCCTAAAACACAGGGTACCTTAAAGGTATTTCTAAATGCAATCAGGTCATTGAATTTATTGACATGAAACAGTGACATCCTACAAAGGAAAACTTACTCAAGTTTTCTATGACACAGGAAGAGTCCCACCTTAAAATGTAGTCAAATGATACCAAAGGACCTAGATTAAAAGCTCTGATTTTTGCTCCACAATGTCTCACAATGTCACTCAGAAACCCATTTTCTTTTGGAATAGGTTTATGTGCTACTTTCCTAATTTCAGGTACACACTTTTTATTTTATCAACCATTTTTTCTTTAAATAAAACATAGTGGTATTTGTAGTTGTCAGATTTCTTCAAATATTTTTAGATGTAAAGAATATGAACTTGAAATAGTTTTAATATTCACAGAACAATACTAAGTAGCCAATTCACAGTGAACATGTGAGCTCAGAATAAGATTGCTTGCCCTCAGTATTGATGAACTTTCTGACAAATGATGTAAATACTGCCTACTTAATTCTTTAAATTAACTGTCTTAATTGTGACTATTTGTGTCTCCTTGTACATGGAAGTTGTTGGGTTTGTTTGTGTACATATGATTTGGGGATGGTGTTTGTACCTGTGCATATGAATGAAGAGTCAAATAGGGACACTGTACATACCCATTTACTACCCGCAGCCTTATGTCTTTGTCAAAATTGAGACTGAGCCTTGAAAGAGCTATTCTTAGGATAAAACAGCTGTCTACCCCATTGGATTCACCTACATGCAGTTCAACACTGTTGGGTAAAAGATGAACTATGATGCCTGACTTCCAGCCTGGGAGGGGGGAACTGAGCTCAGGTCTTCTTGACCGCATACCAAATGCTCATGCTGACAGATTTTTTTCTTTAGCACTGTAAAAGTATTCTTTAATATTTATCAGGAACTACTACTAATCTCTTCCACATTTTGCTGATGGAATTCTTCATTTCTTTATTCCTGAATGTGTAAACCATAGGATTGAGCAGTGGTGTCAGGACATTGGCAAATATAAGTGTGTTTTTCTCAAAGGAGAATGGGGATGAAGGGCGGGCATATATTAATATGCATGGAACAAAGAATAAAACAACAACTGTTATATGGGATCCACAAGTGGAGAGAGCTTTCCGTCGCCCTTCAGAACTATGGGTTCTCAGAAAAAACAAGATTACACCATAGGAAACAAGCAATAAGGAGAAGATAATGATACAGATAGAACCACTATTGGCAAATACTAACATAACGAAAATGTGTGTGTCAGTGCAGGCAAGCTTTAGTAATGGGAACAAGTCACACATATAGTGATCAATGACATTGGGTCCACAGAAGGGTAACTGCAAAGTGAAGACAATTTGTATGATAGAATGCAAAAATCCCCCAGACCATGCTACCCCTACCAAAAAAACACAGAGTCTCCTGCTCATGATAGAAGAGTAGTGCAAGGGCTTGCAAATGGCCACATAACGGTCATAAGCCATAACTGACAGAACAATCACCTCTACTGCAGTAAAGAAGTGTATGGCAAATAGTTGTGTCATGCAGCCTTCAAATGAGATGGTCTTCCTTTCATAGAAGAAGCCTATAATCATCTTGGGTGTTACAACAGTAGAAGTGCAGGCATCCAGTAGTGATAGAAATACCAAGAAGAAGTACATGGGGGAGCCCAGCAGGGCAGGGCTGTAGATGATGGCCACCACAATTATAATGTTGCCACCAATAGTTGCAAGGTAGACTAGCAAAAATACAACAAACAGTATTTTCTCAACATTTGTGTTCTGAGAAAGTCCCAGGAGTATGAACTCATTGACCAAGCTCTGGTTTTGCATGATTCTCAAGGAGAAGGTGGAAGCAAACTGTGTTCGTGTTCGCATAAATCTGCAATTATGAGGAAAAAAATGTGTCATATAATTTATAATATTACCATCAATAAGCTGATTCATTCTTATGCAAAATTATAATAACTGAATTGTTATGATAATGCTCGGGGAACCTTGGTGGATTCCATGACAGGCAAGGTTGTCCTTGGTAGGACAAACATGTCAGCCAGACAGAGCTTAAGTGAGAAGTTTTTTATAAAGGGGAGTAATGAGGGAAAGAGAAAACAGGTAAAAAGACACACACACAGAGAGAGAGAGGACAGAAGAGAAAAAGGAGACAGGAAAAGTCCTGTCTGTCCCATGGAAATAGCAGGAAAGAGAGAGGGAAAGTAGAGCAGAAAGAGAATAGAGCAGAGAGGTTAAGTGAGTGGAGATCTTGCTTTTAAAGGGGTCCTTTGTACCTGGGCTGACTAGGGTACTGCCTGAGTACAGTCTGCCGGATGACAGGGGAAGGCTAGCATAATTCCTAAATCCTTACAATTTTATTACTACTGAGAATAGGATGATAGAGCTGTCTTGATTTGTATACTTTTATACCATGTAGAACTGAAATATAGGCAAATTATGAATGTTTTAAGTAGCCACATTTTGAATATTGGTTGAAAACAATTAAAATTGTTAAAGGACAGAAATGGTTTATCTTTAAAAGGTCAGCTTTTATTATTAACCTCTGGGGCATTTTGTAAAATCTATTAACATCTCTTTTAAAACTAAACCTATATATGACAAAAAAAAAACAAATAAAATAAAATAAAAAACAACAGAATTAATAAACCATGCCTGTCATCAGCATGGAATGGGGCATGGATAGTAGCCTGAAGTAACAGAGGGAGGCACTGCTTCACCTGCCATTACAAGAAGAGTCAAGTGTCCTGTAAGTGTGTGTGAAAATCAGAGCTACATTAAAACCACAAGTGGATTCAACTGGTTTTTTGTTTGTTTGTTTGTTTATTAAATGGAATATTCTGTACTTGTGTTTTCAGTTTTAAATTTTTTTTTTAAATTATCAATTAAATGCTTGGACAGCACTTTACTAAAAATATGCTGTTATCATAATGACCAAATGAAATAATTCCCAAAAAACTACTTCTCAGCTATTAAGGTTCTAGTCAACAGTACATTGGAGGGGTTATTACTGATATTTTATTTATGAAAAAATTCAACAAAGTTGCTTATCCAGGGACTTTTCAAGATTTACTGTAACAACAATGAGGTCCCAAGATATAAACAGAATAAAGAGTGTGAAGTTTTTATACTAACAACTTCAGTGTTGGGGCTCTTTTGCATGTGTCCCATTTATCAACATCAAAGCATCCTACAGTGTTACTATGTGAAGGACAATAGAAGAAAATGATGGTTCAGAGGCCATGAACCAATGAGCTATGTATAATAATTGGTAAAAATAAGTAGCTGAGAACTGAAACTCCTCACTGAAGAAAGTTTACAGTCCTCAGACTTCATTATCTGTTATTTATTTATATAATGTTAGCTTACTTATACAACGTTAAGGGAAAAATTATTCTGTAAAATATTTACATGAACTTTCAAAGCTATGAAAATATGTCTGTAAACAGCTACCCGACTTATTTACAAGAAGCTTGAGAGAGTTCAATTGAAAATGCAAAAAATGTTATTCACAGTAAGGTTAACCCCACAATTCTAGGGGTAATTCATTCATTTGTAAATGAAACCAGCTCAAAGGGAATTATGATTCAGATACCATTCTTTTACAAAGAAAACCACATTGACAGGGAAGTTTTGAGAGAAACAAGGCCCAATGTTAATTATAAAATTATTAAATGAATCTTTGCTTTATCATTATACTCTAGTTTACATGCTCATTAGTTCCAAACAAGCTGGCACTGCTGTACCTCCATTATAACAATTTGGAGTGCAGGGTAATGTGGTTTATGGTCACAGGGGTGATGATTTTATATTATTTAAAATATGATTTATCCAAAGACAAGGTCTACTCTAAACTGAATTTTACTACACAAAACAATGCAAAAGTTTAAATGTAGGCTAAATACAAATAAACATCGGTATTTAGATAAGCCAAATGTATCCACATTTTCTTCATAATCTTGATACATGGATGCATAACAAATCATTTTCGCAGTATCAATTGAATCCATGTATAGGATTCCTAGAATGTTCTATCCTCTATGATTTGTATTAATCCAAAATTATAGTAAGTACAAGGTTCTGAGAATAAGAGTAAATTTCAGTCCTACATGATTTCTATTTATAAATTCCCTTCTCAAAACAGATACATACATACGTACACAAATCCTAAGTAGAAAATTAATTCTATTTTTGCTGTCAAACAGTCAAGAAAATAGTTTTACATATAAAAGGAACCAGAAATAGATCAAACTACCAAACTTCAAGGTTTAGACCCTTGAAGGACAAACTTCTTCATTTTTGTGGAGGCTTTACCCACTCAGATGTACTCCAGGTTAGACTGACAGTCACCGTTTAGCTTAGGAAAATATTAAAGTTCCAATCTTTTTTCCTCCACCTCCAATCCTGTGCCAAAATGCTCAGCCAAATCTATAATTATTATCAGGATATTCTGAAGACCATATAACAAGAAGCTGTAAATATTGATGTCAGTATTGTTTTAAACAGTACCTATAAACGTGCTGATATTTAAAGCAACTCAATTAAAAGAAAAAATGTTTTAAAATCAAATTTAAAAATTTATACCAATTAGAATTATATTAGTTAACTAAAGGATATTTTTAAAAATAATATTAGAAAATAACCCCAAAACATAAGAATGTTTAAATTCTTTTACTACTAAATCCATTCTCAGATTTCAATCAAAATAAAATGAAATTTTACATTAAAATTTAAAAATGTTACATGAAAATCTAAGACTTTCCTAATATTATGGTATGTAAATAGGCTTACAAATTACAATCATATGATACTATAAGTTAAGCACTAATAACAAGATGAGTTTTGAGGCTAGCCTGATCTACATAGTGAGTTAAGGAAGCCAGAGATATGACTCTCCACAAGATAGGTCTTATTTCCAATAAATGTGTTGTAACTAAATGTTTAAAAATATTTCAGATTAAACATCAAAATGAAAGTTCACCACACCAGATTTACTTTAAAGTTCTAAGAAAGGTTGTGAGGCTGCAGATCATTCACAGAATAGTAAACTCAGATGCTAATGTCATAACATCTAACTTTAACATCTTTGCCCCATTATAGTCTTTCCATAAATGACCATAATACTGAGCCAAACTTAACCAACCTCATGTACCCTTAGGTTTTAAACCATATCTTCACATAAGGACCCATCTTCTGGAATGTTCGATGACCTTATCCCTAATATCTATATAGCTAAATATTCAAGATCTGTTCATCATCTTTATTCAGTGTTCCCTCACAGTGGAAACTATGGTCACTCTGTCATCTCCTTCAGGGGTAATCTTAGGAAGTGTGTTTTCACATGCACAACTGTCCATATTGCCCACTATTTCCTTTCCATTAATCTTAGCAGCAAACATAAGTATAATACCACTCTATCTGCAGATAAAAGAATTTCTTTGTTAATGTAGTGTGATATTCAAAACCATCAGGAATAACAGATGCATTGTCATTCTAAGTACTTGCTTCTAAATTCATTCCAAATAAGTATATAAATATTATTGCAATGAGAATAATAAATTAAAATTATGTTCAAAACTATCTACATCAAAATACCATAAATTCTTTTTCTGTTTCCATGTTGTTCTGCTGAATCCCTTTAATGTCCCGAATTCACTCACCTTACTACTTTATTACTTTTGTAATGTATGAGAAAGAACTTTTCTGTTTTCTCCCATATACTTCCTAATGAGGTCTCAGAACTTCTATTTTGCTGTCTTCGGGAGAAGAGTGATGAGCCAGAACTGCTAAACCTGAAGCAGTTCAAAGCTTCAACTTATTTTTTCCTAGAGAGTTCAGAAGCAGAAACCTAATGCTTAGAGTAACATGGGTAGATATAATCCAGAACCATTTTCTTTGTGAATTAAGTCACTCTAAAAGTCAAGTTCAATATCTGACATATGAGTCTCACCATGTGTCAGTCGTGTTGAAAATCTTGGGAAAGCTGTTTCCTCTTTTCTAGAGAGCAGTCCATTCAATGTTTTCCAAGATGCTATGATTGTAGACAGTAGACAGTTCTCCCTTCTATATTTAAAAGGAAAGATACCTGGCAGTGAAGGTAGAAGATTTAAAATATTAAATGTTAAAATATTTATCTTGTGCTGTCTTCAATATTATTTTAGAATAAAGGAAAAATAAGGGGGCCAAAATTATTCTGTAACAGCAAGTGAAATTTTATGTAGGTTTGCTGAGAGGCCATCTACCAGTGAGATTTACTCTTAGTTCCCCAAAGATTTAGACAATTTATGTCCCCAGGAGTTTCCATGACATGAGTTTATGTACTTTTGCAATTGTGTGAATGCTTATAACACTTCCCCCAATATTAATTGAGAGCTCGTCAGTGAAGCTTTGCTACTCATTAGTGTTTTCCCTATTCGTGAAGCAGTGATGAAAAGCCAAATCTTATCCCACTGTTGTGTAGTAGTCACAGTTGTGCTGCGTTTTCTTGAATACAATGGTTTTCTCATATGCAGAAGACAGCACTGAACAGCATTCACCCCCATACCCATCCAGCTTCTATGTTCTTTCTGCTCTGTCTTCCAAAACAATTCCCGGATCTAGGAGGGAATAATACAGTTGTTCCATTTAGGGATGTGCATTTAACAGTGACTTAAATTCAGAATGCCAGAGATGTGAGACTATGCATTAAGCCCCTACCCACTGCAAAATCAAGCTATTTTATCAACATCTAAGAAGTACAGTGAATTTTAGGTATATACACAAAAGTTTAGATGAAATGCCCCTTTAGAAAAACAATAGTTTGGTTTGTTCTTTTTTGGTAGGGCTTGTAACCTTCCTTTTAGAAGCCCATGGCTAAATTTACAGTACCAGACATGTGATCTCTTTGTGGATCATACCTCAAATCCACTTAAAACCTTAGTATCTAACCTCAGGCATTCATGCTATCTTTGTATCAGTTGGTATTTCTTACTTTGTGGGTCAGTATTTCAGTGTCTCATGTCCATAGCTGGTTAAGACCATTAATTGTTCTCAAAAAACAGCATAACCTGTTCTGGAACTTTAAAAACTAGCTCCCAAGACTGTTCTTAAGCAGCTCTTAACTGTGAGTGAGCTCATGTGGAATTATAAAGAATTTACTGACTTTGTATATATTAAATCTCACAGAGTAATCATTCTGATTCCAACTAGAAGGAATGAAGATCTAATAAGTAATGCTAAAACAAAAGCAAGAACAAAACCCAGGAGATCAAACTCCCAATCCTTTATCTCCATGTACTCTTGCAGCTGACACTTAGATTCATTTGAGATATAAAGGCATGAGAAAGTTCTATCACTCCAGCTCTGCTGCCTATAACACAAGCAACCTCTCTCCTGACTTGCTTCCACCCCTGTGTGGAAACTACTTCTCTCTTTGTCCCATGATCTGGCAACATCATCATGTTGGTATCTCTACTGCAGCTTAAGTTTCACCTTTATAGCTATACTTGGGGACCTTTTAGAAGCTACTTGTAGGATCTCCAGCCTTCCATACATGACTAACCTTTAGTATCTTTATAAAACAATGGAACAAGGTTACATAACTCCCAATTTCTGACAGTTTTTATGTCTACAAGACATACACCCCATGTACAATGTTCCATAACTCTCTTGCAAGTTGAATATGGAAATCCTCCCTGCCTTGTACCATAGCAATATGAGCTTCAGTATACTGATAGTGGGGTAGTATACAGGAATAACTTTCCTCAACAGTTGTTTCTCAGGAGCATTGAACATCTAGAACTCTATTCTTATATCAGGCTTTCTACTTTCAAATATGTTTGCTTTTCTGTACATTGGAAGCACTGATGGATGAGGCTTCCTAAATGGTATGTTTCTCATGCTTCTATTTCATTGCAAGAGGCAGCTTGTCTTTATCAGTCAATGCCTCTTCAGGCACAAAATGGTTGTAAATGTTATTTAGCTTAAATTGTTTCTTTTCTGAAAAACACCATATTTTAAAATATATTGTTCTATATTTCTCCTATCTTCTCAGTGTAGAATTGAATAAGTGCTGACACCTAAATGTTCTCCTTGACTAAAATTAGCTCATTATTTATAAACTCAACTTTGCCATATATTTGTGTGTGGGTGTGGGTGTGTGGGTGAGCGTGTGTGTGCACCTACGCACCCACACACACATACATGCACAAATGACCTCTATCCTAGTTGCAGATAGTCTTTCAATCACTCTGATACCTAGAATGTTGGGCCTATATTGTCTGAATTCCTCAGTATCTTGTGGTGGTTTGCATAAAAATGGCTCCCATGGGCCCATAGGGAATGGCACTATTAGGAGTTCTGGCCTTATTGGAGAAAGTATGTCACTGGGGGTGAGCTTTGGGGATTCAGTAGCTCAAGTCAAACCCAGTGATTCACTTTCTCTTTCTGCTGCTGCTGATCCAGATGTAGGTCTCAGCTACCTCTCCAGCACCAGGTCTAACTGCAGGCTGTCATGCTTCCCATCATGATGTTAATGGACTTAACCTCTTAATTGTAAGTCAGGTCCAATTAAATGTTTTCCTTTATAAGATTTGCTATGGCCATTGTGTTACCTGACAGAAATAGAAGTTGGTACGAGAGACTAGAAGATTGTTCTGATAGGCCTGTCCATGCTTCTGTTTGGAGGAATGTAAAACAATTTGGGATTTTTGAACTGAAAAGCAACTGAAAATTTTAAGTCATGCTCAATGGGCTATCCTAGCAGGCACTTGGAACACAGTTGTGCTGGGGGTTATTTGAACTGTAGGGACCCAGTTCAAGAGTTTTTAGAGAATAATAATATTTGTATGACATAGAAACCATTCTTGTAATATTTTGGTAGAGAATGTGCCTGCCTTCTTCCCTTGTCCAAAAAATTAAAGAGTTTTGGATTGATGTCATTGGCTGAGGAAATCTCAAAACAGCCTTGTAAGGACTCTGTTGTATGGTTATTAGTAGTAACTGAAACGAATATTTACAGTGAAAATGAGCAAGCTGACAAAGGAAAAACACAAAATGTACAGTTTGAGGAGAAGAGGAGTATGAATAAGAGTAAATGAATTAAAGAAAAGCCTAGTATTGAGTGAAAGAAAGAGAGTGGTGACTTCAGAGCAAGACCACAGTCAGCTAAGATTCTAATTTGTGAGAAGAAATTAAAGACAAGTGAAAGAGAATTTTAAAAAGCTTAGGGTCAGGCAAGGTGGGCACACTTTTAATCCCAGCACTTGGGAGGCAGTCAGAACTCTGTAAATTAGAGCACTGTCTAGTCTACAGAGTGGG